AGGAGCAGGAGCAGGAGCAGGAGCAGGAGCAGGAGCAGGAGCAGGAGCAGGAGCAGAAGCAGAAGCAGGAGAGGCAGGACGTACGGATTGCTGCGACTGCCAGTTCTCCCACTCACGCTCGCGTTGCGCGGCGAAGTTATCCCACGCGGTCAGGGCATAGCCAGCCGCCGGGCAGTCATAGACGCAGATGGCCGGGCCACCGCCAGGCGCCAGACCGGAGCCCTGCGAAGAGCCTTTCAACGATCCGGACCCGGAAGAGGAACTAGCGCTGCTGGATGCCGGCCCTGGGCCGCAAAGCCACGTTTGGATGTCATACAGGGACACCGGAATGTACTGGGTGAAGTCCCGATTGTATACCCAGAGCTCGCCATTTTGCGTCGGCCGCGGCACGCCATGGCCGTTGTAGTGGAAAAGGAGTCGATCCTCGCGGAAGCCCTTGCGCAGTTGGAGGCACACTTTGCGGACATCCTATGGCCAAGATCGCGAAGGACGAAAGGTGGCGAGGCGGCAGGCAGCAAAGCAGAGGCACATAGAGAGAGAGAGAGAGAGAGGGGGGGGGGGGAGGGAGGATCGGAGATGGCGCAAAGAGAGCCAGTGTTAGGGAGCCGGAGCCAGATGGCGGAATGGCCTTGCAGGAAAGGAGGATGCAGAGCCCAGGACGCACCTCAATCGTCGAGTCCATGCAGAGCTTGTATTTGGCCTTGGGCTGGAGGCGCTCATACTGCAGATTCAGTGCCTTGCCAATCTTCTCGAGAGCTGAGCAGCGACATGCAGAGTTAGGCCAGGGGAGGGGCAGGGGAGGAGGCAGGGAAGGGCGACAGGCAGCGGTGATGGCAGCAGGCGAAGGGTGCGCGCACCCTTCGGGGGGGTTGCATCGAAGGGATCGGTCCAGCACTGGAGACGCGCGCAGGGGGTCGTCCGGAGGACATCCGGCGGGTCAACGCCGATGTTTAGGCAGACCACAAGCGCCGCGCCGGCCGTGCGAATGCGCTCGCGCAGGCGCCAGTTGTCCAGATGCTTGGAGGCCGAGTAGTCCGGCTCGGCGGAGTTCAGATGCCGCGCCGAAATGTAGAACGGGTTGGGTGGGCCATGGAACTGCAGGGACAGGGCCTCGGGATCGAAATGCCCCGGGTCCAAAGGCGGCGGCGGTGGCGAGACAAGTGACGGATCCAGGAAAGGGGCTCCCGGTGCGAAGGGCGGCGCCCCGGACGGATCGCCAGGGTGGCCGGCACTTGGCTGCTGCTGAAGCTGGTACTGGTGCTCCATCGGGGTGGATGGCGAGAGGGTCAGCCCGAGGGAGCCGACCGACGAAGTCCGCGCTAGAGGCGATAGGGGGGAGCTTGGCTCGGAGGTGTACCCCGCCGACTGGAGAGCGACGCGGCTCAGGGCGAGGTGAGGCGGCCGGCTGTTCGCGGTGGCGGCGGTCGACGGGGAGGCAGGGGTGCTGTTAGCGACAGCGGTGGCGCGAGCGAGCGCCGATGGCGGCACAATGGTGGCCGACGAGGGGGGCTGGTTGAAGGAGGAGGACACGGCCGGCGCGTGTGTCGGCACCGGGGCCTGGTGCGTGTGCCGGGCGACGGTCGTGCCGTCCCCAGGGGGGAGCATGGAGTGGGGAAGGAGGGAGAGGGGGGACGGATGGGAGGGGGAGGGATGGGAGGGGGAGGGAGGAGGGAAGAGAGAGAGGAGGCGCCGCGCACTGGTTATCGGTGCGTCGAGAACGACGGGCGGTTGGCCGCGGGCAGGCGGGCAGGCAGGTGGGCGACGTGCGAGCGCGCAGGTATATGTGCGTCTGTGTGCGCGCGCGTGTGTATTTTTATGTGTGCTCGTGCGTGCGTGCGTGCGTGCGTGCGTATGAAGAGGAGACGGGAGGCCACTGCGAAGGTTGACTATAGGGGGGGGGGAGGGGGGGGGGAGGAGGGAGGAGTGGGAGAGGGGAGGGATGGAAGACTGCTGCTCGGGCGAGGGGGTGCGGGAGGCGCAAGGTGGCGCCCGAAAGGTGTGTCCTGTCCGGGCGGCGGGCCCAAAGGCCCCCGCACCCTTGGAGGCCCAAACGATAACAACAGTTACCGAGTAATCGGGCACCACAAGGCGCCGGGGGCGTTCGCTCGTCCTGCCCCCAGACCCGAGGCCCCCCCCCCCCCCCCCCTTGCGCCCTTCACCCCAACTGGGTTGCCAGGCCGCCCACCTTCCGGGGCAGGCGCGGTGGGGGGGGGGGGGGGGACCTGCCTAGAGGTGAATATGAATCCGGTTCCGTGTTCTCTCCTCTCCGGAGGCACTTGGTCTTTTTTCCTTTTCTTTTTTTTTCAACTCGACCAGCCCCTGGGGAAAGAGGCGCAAAAGATAGTGCGACAACATCGGAAGAGGGAGCCCCCCAGGGAGAAGCGGGCGCCGGGGCATGGAAGGGAATTCAACCGCCACGCACTCGACACAAACATCGGAGCAGGCGCATTTCCGGCCGGCCGGCCGGCCGGAGGCTGCCCAGCCGCTCGGCAAAGCCAGAACGCCAAGATCTACGACTGTGGATCGGACCGGAGCTCGCTCGGGTCGAGAAGCACCGCCCGAATGGCCGTGCTGTGTCGGACGAGGTATTAACTTGCCCGGTTAATCGTGGTGAGAGGTCAGGTGTGTGGCGTGATCCTTTTGTAGGGGTACTCCGCTGCATAGTCGACTGTGCCCGCTCTCCTGGCCCCTCTTCTCAGGGGGGAACTTTGGGGGGAATGGGAGCAGGGGGGGGGGGAAGACCTCCGAGCTCTTGCGACCAGAACAGCGGGAGCGGGAGAGTAGCCACGGCCAACGTCAAGGCCGACTGGAGGACCGCGGACAATCAGGCATCCGAAGGTCCACAGCCAGCTCCGGGCGCATGTTTGCAACACGAACCAATGGGCCCCAGGGCCTCCCCCCTGGGTGCCCCTTGGCGAGAAGGGGAGACACCGAGGGGAGGCGGCAGATCGGGGCAGTGATCTGGGCGCCTCGCTCCTGCCGTCCACCCGCCTCCTGGGAAGGTGGCAAAAGTTGTGGGGTCCTCTCCACCGTGGCCGGTCAAACACAAGGACACCTCCCCTGCCCGGGCGCACAGACATCCACCGGGTGAGCTCTTTTCAGCCGGCCTCGTGCCACCCAGCCGGCAGGCCCCCCTGCAGCCACCTCCAGCCCTTCTCCCTCCTCCTCCGCCTCTGCCCCCCGCCCCCCCCCTTTTCTTTCCTCCGCCTCTCCCCCATCCCCGCGGCCATGGACAACCGTACTGCTGTCTCCAACTGGGGCAATGCTCAGAGCGTCGACTCGCTCAACATTGCCATCCAGAAGATCATCGACTTCATGAACCACTTTGGTGCGCCCCATGCGGAATCCCATAACCTGTCCTTGGCTGCCCCTCGTTCCCCCCCCCCCCCCCCACTGACTTCTGTCCCACGATACCTCTCCTGGCTGCGGCCGTCCCCCTCTCTCCCTCCTCTCCCCCACCCCCACCACACCTACCCTGCTCCATGGTGTATATGCGGGCACATGCACATGACAGAAAACCACACTCGCTTCCAGCTGTCCACTGTTGGCGACCGCCTCAACCTCCTGGAGCAGGAGGTCCACTCGCTTGAGCAGAAGGTCCGTCCCCTCCCATGGGTCTACTGGCCCTGCCGACCTCCCCCGGTCCCCTTCTCGTTTGCAGCCTCGGTGGTGCTTGCCACCAGATCTCTGGCTCTTGCTCGTCCCCCCACCCCCCCACGGCACTCCCCCCGCCTCCCACGCATTCGCTGCCCTTGGCTGACCCCAAGCTGTCACTCCATGACCCCCCTCTGATGGGCGTTTCCCCGACGGATGTGATTACACTGCAACATGCAGCTCAACTCCCTGAAGCGGGATTGAGGAGGCCGCGCACATCGGCTCGTACCTCCTCGCATCGAGTCGACCACTGTGCTGTACCCCGCCCCCCCCCCCCGTCCATCGCCCTCGGAAAAGAACATACATACAAACATGACAACAAGCATAGCCTCTCTCTCCCTCTCCTCCCCCCTCCCTATCTCGGTCCGGTCCCTGTGTACCTCCCTCGCGCTCCCCCAGCACACAAATGACCCCCTCCCTGGTGGAGTTTGTCCCGGGAGAGGGGCGCGCAAGCATCCTCCTGCCCCTCTCCCCTGCTGGCGCGACCGGGGAGGGGGAGAAAGACGCCAAGTATATAGGAGGCACTGCCATATGCCCTCCCTGCTGTGGGGGAGGCGGGCCCCAGGACACAGGGCAAAGCAAAAAAAAAAGGCGAAAAAAAGACACAGAAGAGGTGGTGTGTGTGCATGTGTAAACGGATGCGGGTCAAATAACAGAGAAGAAGCCTGCTGGTCGCCCCGTTAGGGCACGTGCCTCTGCGTCCCGTGATGGCGCTGTTTCAGGCGCACTTTGACGAGGTATTCCCCCCTCCCCGCCCCCGCCTCTGTGCCCGTTGCTCCTCACCCTCCCGCTGAGCCGCCCGCGCGTATGTGGCTTTCCCCGGGCCCGGGGCTGCAGTGGATGCGGGGGGATTTGTCAACTGCCCCGGCCAAATGCCGGCGGCCCTTGTCCGGAGGCCTTCTTCTTGCTTCGTCGGCCAGGGGGGAGGAGGTGCCTTGCCTGCCAACATGCACTCCCCGACGGTGGACGGGGAGGCCCCCTGCGGATGCAAACGACAAGCAGCCCCGCCAGAGGTGGCCGTCCGCGCCCTCTCTCTCTCACACACACACACACACACACACCGCCGCAGCCATAGCCGCCGACTGTACACCAGGTAACGTAATGACCGGGGGGGGGGAGCAGGGCCCGGGGTGACTGACACGCAGCTTAGCGTGCCCGGCGCGCATCCCAGGCGGCCTAGGAAACACATTTGACCGGCGCCACACCGGGCCGCGCAAGCCTCCAGGGGCGGGAAAAGAACAAGAGGCAAACGACGGCGGCGGCCTCGCACCCGGGAAGCGCCAGCAATGTGAGTCTGCAATATGCACCGCTCCTCTACGGCTCGCGCGCGCCTGTGGCATCTTGTCAGCAATATGGGTGCGCGCCCCCCGTTCCTCCCAGCACCGGTCGGAGGGGGGGGTCGCATTGACCACTACGCCGGCTGGCGGAAAGTCATGGCGACGGGCCGTGGGGGGGGGGG